GAGTTTCTCCTGTTTTCATGAGCTTGATCGTGTTGAAATCAAATCCAGACCAGGTGTTTTGTAGGCTGCCTCTCACACCGTGACTTTTTGAAATGAGCATGACTGAATTTTGGGATGAAGACCACAGTGAAGAAGCACCGCTCTTCTTCGGTTCTGTCCTATCAGGGTCTGTGTTTTTGCTTTTCCATAATATATTTTCAGAAGCAGACACGAATTCTAGCTCTACTCAGCATGGGGAGGGATTAATCTCTACCCCTGCAGGAAAGTATTGATATATATCACTTGAAATCCTTCTGTAAGGAAAATTTAATTTTTAAATTTTTTGTTGTAGGGTTTTTGTTATTTCTTTTGGCCACACCCATCTGTGCTCAGGGATCACTCCTAGTGAGGTTCAGGATTGAACTGAGGTCAGCTTATGCAAAGTAAGCACTCAACCCATTGTTCTTTCTGGCCCCTTCTGTGGCCTTATATATTTATTTAAGGGGGAACTTGTCAGATTGCACAAAAAACCCACTGAGATTTCATTTTGTTTGAGATAAACTTTTGTGATATCAAGTCTTCCATTTTATAAACCTGCTTTACTCTTCCATATAAGTATAAAGGAGAGGTAATTTTTTTAAAGATTATGAAATCAGTGCTGAGAAATTCTGTTGTGTTTTATGCATCTATATCTAGTAACTGCAATAGTTTATCAGTTTTCTTCTTAGTTTGCCTAGAGATTCTCTTGTATGTCTTAGAGAATCATTGCTGATAAATAAATACAACTCTGTTTCTTTCCAATTCTTCTCTTATTTCTTGGCACCACTTTGTACTTCCAGTCACTATATTGTTACCATGGAAGCATTGGTAACCAGATTTTTTTTCCTTACCTTGGTTTTGGTGGGAGAGATACTTTTGTGTTTGTTTTATTTTTATTGCTGTTTCTACTCCGCCTGGGGGCCCAGGTGCCTCTACTTGTCTTGTGTGTGGCTGTCTTGGGTTTAATGCCTCTGAGCCTTCCAGGAGTGATCTTTGAGCAAAGCTGGGAGTAAGCCCTGAGCATTGCCAAGTGTAGCCCCCAAACAATTTTTTTCCCCAGAGAACACTGGTAATAGTACCTACTTCCTGGGTTGTTACTGAGCTTAATACAATATGTCATTAAATTTTAAATAATGATTAGCTGTCATCATTTAAGGCAGGGTAATACCTCATTTTTTTAAATCAGTATTTTTAGCAGGAGTTCTTCCAGGGTCTCCCGTGCCCTCATTTGTGAAGGACTAACCCATAGTCGACATCTGTGGGCCTATTGTTAATCTATAACCATGTCTTTTGACCAATTGCCAACCTATAGCTAATGTTTGGCCCTCAAAGGTTTAAGAAGTATTCAGGAAGAGCCTGAGTGATCATCAAGTAGACTGTACTATAGGGAAATCTGGCACTTGAATGTAAAGTCAGCCAAGTTCATGGGAGAGCAGAAACAGTTACAAGTCCATGAATTTACAGATCCATGTCAAAATTTCAGTTTCTTCTATAAAAAGTAGCTAGTGGCAGATCTTTGAACTCTGAGGCATGGAGCATTCCCTTGTGTGTTCCCTGCCTACCCCCAAGCGTTGTGAAGTCCCCTAGTGATCCCTAGCAGGCCTCTCAGGATCCACTGGGGAATGCCCAGAAAATAAACGTAGATACTGTGTTATTATTGTTACTTGTTTCCTGTTCTTAATAGGTTCCCAGTTAGATATACTTATGCAGGAAAATGTTTTTAATTAAAATATTAATGGTTTTAAACGTTTTTAATTAGGGTAACATTTATTAAAGGAAAAGGTAGCAAACCAAAAGCCAAACCAGTACTGCAGACAGTTTTGGTGCAAGGATGGATTAGAATATCTGACTGACATTTTTTAAGTTGTAAGCTTTCACTTCCATTTATTTATTTACTTTGCTTTTTAGGTCACACCTGGCATTGCAACAGGGTTACTCCTGGCTCATGCACTCTGGAATTACTCCTGGTGGTGCTTGGGGGACCATATGGGAATTGAACCTGGGTCGACTGTTGCAAGTCAAATGCCCTACCCGCTGTACTATCGCTCCAGCCCTCTTTTCCTTTTAAACATGTGAACTTGAATGAAGAAGCAGGAGGGGCAGGGTATCAGCTTTGTTGTTAAAAATCAAACCTGTGAAGAGAAGATTCACCAGCCAGGCCTAGGATGATGTGTTTAAGTCCCAAGCACTCAAAGCATGGTAACAAGATTGCAAACCCTCTTTCTGACTCCAGAAAACTCACTCTCATTCTAGCATTGTAGCCTCAGAAGTTTACTGCCAACTAATCCTATGACAGTATTTTGAAACTGTATATTGTGCAAAGGTTATTGGACATCAAAACGCCCCACAATTGGTTAAATCCCTTTACCCTCAGGTCAGAGCCAGGAGTAGCCCCCAGCATGCTGGGTATTACCCAACCCCACCTGTCAATATGTTAGCGTGTTCTTCCCTCATTCCTACATATACCCCCAGGAGAACTGAAATTTGGATGGTGGTCCCCAGGGAGTTGTTTATGCCACATATGGCTGTATTCAGGGCTTCTAACTGCACTCAGGGCTCACTCCTGGCTTTCTCAGGGGACCATATTTGGTTCTGGGGATGGAACCTAGTTTGTCTGTGTACAAGGCAAACCCACTGTACTTTCTCCCGCCTTGAATATTTGAGTTGGGCCTGGGAAACTTCTTTCCACTTAAATGTAGCTACTTTCATTTTTTTTGGGTTTGTTAGACATTAGATTTCAGGCAGTGGTAGAAATCAGAACAGGTTTCTTAGCAAGTTCTCTGATTTTCCAAGTTGCATTGTACTGAGCTAACTTCATGAGATGCTTCCTGTGGTAAACTGGTACGCAGTCGGGTCTACAACTGGACAACCTCCAGTTTACATTCGTAGACCCGATTGCGTATCTGTTTTTTCTGCAACCTCACAAACATGGCACCTTATCAAAGTCCTTTGGCTTTTGTCAGTCTGAAGGGAAAATAGTAACTCAAAGTACAAAGTTTCACTTTAGTTCTTTGAAGTAACATAAAGTTAAAACACTTTTTTGGGATTGATTTACAGTCTTTCTCATTCTGTCTATTTTTGTCTATTGCTGCGAAGATCTTTAAACAAGTTAGCATCAATTTACCAATGCTTTCAGTGTGCTGCCCCGCCGGTCCCCCGGCCGTCCACATGCCTTTCCGCGCTGAGACCCAGGGCCTCTGAAAGAACCCATCACTTCATTTTCAGGGGCACCTTTACCTGGGGGAAAGTTCTGTCGCCACCCGAGCACTTCCCTCAGTCTCTGCCCTGCGGAGCTGGGCGCCAGTGCGCTGCCGGCGGGCGGCGGGTGCACCCCGAGCCTGGTGTGGGCGGGCCAGGACTGACCCGGAGCTGGGTGCGCGCGTGAGGGGCGTGCCCGGAGCTGGGTGTGGGCGGGTCAAGGGCAGTAGTAGGTGGGCCCAGAGCTGGGTGTGACCGGGGTTCGAGTGTCCCTCCACCCTCGGCCCTCCCCCGTCTGCTGCGGCGCCCTCGCTCTCCCCCTTCCTCCCCGCGCCCCTCCGGGCCTGGCCGGGCGCGCCCCTAGCTGGGAGGCCCCTGTGCCCGGAGGCGCCCTTCCTGGAGCCCGCCCGCCGGTCCAGGCGCCCCCGCAGCCTGGGTCGCGGCGCGGGCGCGGGCGCGGCCCTTTAAAGTTCTCGTCCCGGACTCGGGGTGTGCTCGGGCGCCTCCTCTCCCTTCCGCCGCCGCCGGTCCCGGGCCTTCCAGATGCTTCGCAGTCATGAGTCGGAAGGGTGCCGGCACCCTGGTGGCCGAGGTGATCAAAGGTGAGTGCGGCCTGTGTTGCTGCAGCAGTGGAGGTGCAGGTGCGGGTCCGAGTGACCCGCAGGGCCTCCCTCCTGCTGCCGGGGCCGCGTCCAGCCGGAGGGCAGGGTTCAAGGGTTGCGGTGGCCGGCGTGAGGCCTCCTGTGGCCGCTAGGGCAGGGGGGAGCCAGCGCGGAGAGCGAGTGGGCTGCCGCCGGGTGCCCGCAGTGGTTCTTTGAGCTGCTGTGCCCCGCTGTGCGTGTTCTCTGCGCACGCTGCTCCCTCCCTCCTGTGTGTTGCTGGGAGGGCTGGGCGATGTCTCTGGGCGCAGCGGGTGTGGGTGTCGCGCAGAGCCTTGCGTAGTGCCCTTGCTGCTGTCGCAGTGACTCGGACGAGGCTCACGCAGAGCCCTCACCGCTTCATCTCTGCGCACCCGCCTGACTGTAAAAAACCACCACGCACGTGCACATGCACCCACACGTGCATGTACACACGTGTGCACGCACACCCCCGCACACGCAGCCACACGCTGCATGCACCCACACGTGCATGTACACACGTGTGCACGCACACCCACGCACACGCAGTCACACGCTGCATGCACACCCACACAACATGCACGCACACACGCAGAGGTGCACGCGTGCACAAACACACGCACTACAGAAGTTGTGATTCTGATTTTTTTTTAAATTAAGTGATAATTCCTAAGAACAGTTTTGTGATCTTATGTTGGCTTATTTTGGTGTTTGTGTACTTTAGCCCTCACTTATTTTTCGCCCTTATTTAAAATATATAATTTCTTACTAGACAACTTTCATTGATAGCTTGAAAACTTTGGGGACCCCAGAGAAGGTCATTCCGGTCGATGGCTGGCCATCAGATGAATGCACGCTACATTTGGCTGAAGTTTCTTAGCTCAGAGAAACTAGTTTGTGATAGTTCTTTTTCTAGATGTCAATCGTATGGCTATGTGAAAAGCAACTTAGCACAACTGAAACTAAAGGACATATTTTTCCTTTAAATTTTTGCTAAATTATTGCTTCCCACCAGAATAGCCAGAACATTTTGAAACTTCCCATTGGCATCCATACCATCTGAACATGCATGGAAACAAAATTTACTTCATCTGAAGAGCATATCGTTCTATAGGAAATTTTTTTTAGTAACTTGAAGGAAGGAACATTGCAATTTTTCCATTTCAGATCGCCTTTGTTTTGCCATTCTCTACAGCAGACCAAAGAGTTCATCAAATATACATTATTTCAGCATAGATAATGAACTTGAATATGAGAGGTAAGTATTGCCTTTGAAAGATTGTTATTAACTTTTTTTTATTAGCTTTGGAAAATTAGAAGTAAGTAGATATTTGCAAAATTCTTTTTTAAGCCTTTGATAATAAAAAAGATGGGAGGTGGTGAGAAAAGGAAAGAACCTTCCTAAGCTTAATGGTTTACATGTGAAATAAAAGTTTGTAGTATAACAAAATATAAACTAGTATATTTAAGTCAGTTATGTTTTTGCCTGTGGAAAATATGTGTACAAAACTATTTGGAGGTATTTTCATATATTCTCTGTGGCTAGATTTGTCATGCTTTCCAAAAGATGCCGTTTACCAGAATATGCCTTTAATTAGAAAAGTTGTACCTGGTATGAGACTCACATTTTGGTGTATGCCTTTCTGTCTTAATTTGATCTTGTTCCAAAATCTATATTAGAACACTTAGAATAGACCTTGTTATTTTGTTTTTCATTCTTGAAGCTTCTACGCAGATTTTGGACCACTTAATCTGGCAATGATTTACAGATATTGTTGCAAGATAAATAAGAAATTAAAGGTAAAGTCTTGTTTTACTTAGTATTTGATTTAAGTGATGGTTAACTTTTTCTTGGGAAGGGACGTGGAAGGAAAATATATAGGAAAATATATGTTTTAAGAAAGAAAAATATCAGGGTTAAATGACAGTAGAACAGGGAGGGCTCTTGCCTTTCAGGCAGCTGACCCAGGTCTTTTCCCCCAGTGTTCCCTCTGGTTATCTGAGTATTTCCAGGAGTGATTCCCGAGTGCAGAGCCAGGAGTAACCCCTAAGCATTACCAGGTGTGACCCCTTAAAAACAAAAACAAAGCAAAGGAAATGTTTTAATTTATTTTTAAAAATATTAAGGTAGCATGATTTATAATAGTGTTGTTTCAAAAGGCATTTTGGTGTACAAAGTTAGTGCACTCCCATCATCACCATCACATGTCGCTGCTAGTTGTGGGTCCCTTGCCTCCATGGTACTCTCAGTGAGTACAGGGCTGTGCTCCTTGTTCGTGCCTGCCTTTGTTTCTCTTTTTACCACATATGATTGACATCATGCAACACCAGTCTTCTCTCTCTGCCTTTTTTTTTTAACGTTACATAACACCCTCTTTAGTTCCATCCAAGTTGTAGTAAAAGGCAAGTTTTTATCTTCACTTATATCTGAGGTACTATTCCATTGAATGTATATATTTCCATTTATCTATACTCTCACTTGTCATTGGGCATTTGGGTTGTTTCCAGAGCTTGACTATTGTAAATACTGATCCCAGTGAACATAATGTGTGCATGTATCTTTTTGAATTAATATTTTTGTGTTCTTGGGGCAGATGCCAAGAAGCAGAATCGCTCAGTCATAGGAAAGTTCTATTTTTAAGTTTTGAAAGATGTTTTTGTACTGTGTTTTTGTTTGTTTTGCTTTTTTGGCCATAGCTGGTGGTGCTAAGGGCCTACTCCTGGCTCTGGGCTCTGGACTCTGGGATCACTGTGGGGGTGGGGGAGGGGAGAGGGAGACCATATATGGTGCCAAGGATTGAATCCAACTTAGCTGCATGCAAGACAAGCCCCATGCCCACTGAACTATCCCTTTATACTATTTTCTGTAGTGGCTGAAACAGATGGTCTGGTTGTAATAGTGAATGGAGGCTTCTTTTTGTCTGCATCACCCCAACACTAGTTGTTTCCTAGTTTTTAAAAATTGGTCATTTTCACTAGCTTGAGGTAACGCCTCATGTTAATTTTGATTTATATTTCTCGAATAGTAAGCCTGTCTACCCGAGGAAGTGGCTGTTCAGCATCTCTCTGCAGTTTATGATTTTGTTGCTGAGCTTTGTAGAAAGCACATGAGTGCTTTCCATATTTTGGATGTTAGCTCCTTTTCAGATGTAATAGTATATGATATTTTCTCCCATTTCAGTACAGTGTCTTATATTTTAAGACATGGGTACTTGGAATATACTTAAGTTTTGTCTTTTGTTTTGCTACACCAGTGGTACTCAGGATATATCTGGCTTCGCTCAGGAGTTTTATCTGGTGGTGTTAAGGTCTGAATCCATATGTGGTATTGGAGGTTACACCAGGGTGCAAACCAAGTGTCTTACCCTGTACCATCCCCCTCATCCTCCCTCCCACCCCTTGGCCCCTCACTTTTGGGAGGGGATTGCACCTGAGGTGCTCAGGACTTTCTCCTGGCTCTGCATTCAGGTATTTCTTAGGACAGAACATGGGGGACCATCTGTGGTGCTGAAGATCAACCCAGGTGGGCCTTGTACAATGCCAGTCCCCTACCTGCTGTTCTGTCTTCCCAACTTTAAAGTTAGAGCCTATATATGTCCCTTTTTCAGAGTTCTCATTGAAAGTTACATGTGGGTCTCTCCTTTCTGTAAAATTTTGATTGGTGGTGCTCAATTATTTCAAGTATTAACTTGAAAAACCAGCGCAGATAGGTTAATAAAGTAAGCCACTCTGAAATATGGAACGAAAAACTTACTTGGGAAACTTTCTCTTCTTTATTGTTCTTGCCTTTACTGTGATAGGGAATGTCAGCAAACATACAAGGAAAATAGGCTCTTCTCACTTTCATTTATCTTGAATCTCCCACGATAACTGTAATATGCCTCTTCACTCTGACCCTTCATATACCATGAAAGAAGCAGGGAAGTTCAGGCAAATGGCGTATCCTTAAGGTTTTAGCACAGAGTTGGGAAAGTGTATTTATGTTTATTTGAACATAGAACCCTTTTATTTATTTAAAGAACTTGATTGGTCACATAAAGTAAGAGTTTTTGAACTGCTGCCAGTTCCATATTTACTGTAAATCTTCAAGTAGGAAATACTGAATTTGGGGGCAGGAACTTTGTATTATTTTATTTTTTAAAAATGCCAACCCGTCTTTTAATTGAATTTTTAAATTTTATTTAACTTGGTTTTTGAGCCACACCCAGCAGTGCTCAGGGATCACTCCAGGTGGGACTCCAAGGGAACATTCGTGGTGCCAATGAATGAACATGGGTCAGTCTTGTGCAAGGCAAACACCTTACCTGCTGTACTATCTCTCTGGCTCCCATTTTCACTTTAAAAAAAGCAAAATTGTGTTTTTGGGTCACACTTGGCAGTGTTAGTCTTACTACTGGCTGGGCTCGTTGGACCACATGTGGTGCCAGGGATCAAGCCCTTTGTTATTTGCAAGGCAAGAGTCCTACCCACTGTACTATCTCCCTAACCCCTTAAAAAAATTACTGCCGCCACAGCTAGTCTTCCTCCAAATGCTCTCTACTCCATAGGTTATCTTAGTTCTATTGCTAATTCTGATTGTCTTTTTATTGTGTTAATTTTATATCTCCCTCTCTCCCTCCCTCCCTCCCTTCCTTCCTTCCTGCTTTTGGGCCATACCCACAGTGCTTGGGGCTTATTTCTGGCCTATGTGCTCAGGGTCACTTTTGTGACTTTAGAATACCATTTGGTACCACAGTTCAAACCTGGGTTGCTTGCGTGCAAGGCCAGCGCCCTGTATCCTGCTGCACTGGAGTGAAAGCAGCCAAATCTTTCCTTTTTTTCTTCTAAGATCCTTAACTTTGCATAATTTTCTTCAGTGCATTTCATTTTGCTGAAAAATTTCATCTGTTTTTGATATAAAAAAAAAGGAGAGAGGAAGAAACAGCGTCCAGTCAGAGCAAACCTGGGGTTGGAGCAGTAGTAAGTGGGCATGGTGCTTGCCTGCTCAGTCCCCCTTGGCCCAGGTTGGATCCCGGCATCCCATATGGTCCCCCAAGCACTGCCTGGAGTAATTCCTGAGCATTGCAGGTATGACCCCCAAAACTGAAAAAGTAACTATACCCCGCCAACCAAGCCCACAATCCCCACCCCCCCCAAAAAAAAACAAAAACAATTTCAATTGTGCTTGAAATGCACAATTGAAGTTAGAGGAGGTGGGGTTGTGGATGAAAGTCCATGGCCAGTGTTGGTGGGTGTGGAAGATGGTTGTGCTCCAAGACACTCCTATAAAGCTGAGGGGGGTGGGGAGAGTCTCGGCTGCCTGTGTGCCTCTTCGCGGGGGCCCACCCCCCAATCTACAGAGTGTCACCATTTTCATAGATGAGTATTAGCCATTGTACTATAGTTATCAATCATCTGTATTTGGGGCAAGAACAGCAGTACATGTGCTGATCCCAGTTCAATATCTGCAACCCCATATAGTTCTCTGAGCCCCTCCAGGAGTGATCCCTGAGGACAGAGCCAGGAGTAACCCCTGAGCACTTCCTGGTATGGCCCTGAAACAAAACAAAAACACAAAAACAATCAGTGGTACTTCATGTTTCCACCATTTAGCTGTTGTCCGTAGAACACCATCCACATCTGGGTGGTATCAGCTCTCTGGTGGATAGCATCCAGATTCTTCAGATCAATACCTCCAAGTGGGATTGCAGGGTCACCTGGCAGCTCTATCCGACACTTCTGAGGAAACCCCAGAGCTTTTCTCTGCTCATACCAACTGATATCCTACCAACACTACTGGATAATTTTTTTCTCCATTCCTTCTCCAATACTTACTGCTGTTGTTTTTCATGGATCGTGTATTCGTGGGTGTGGGGTAGTATCTTATAGTCCTTAATTACACTTCTGTGATGATGAACATTATTCATATGCTTATTAAACATAACAGTGGTGGGGGGTACAAAACAGGGAAAGAAAATGTATGTTTATTTAGAAAAACAAGAAAAAAAACTCCAAAGCAGCCATGTACTAACAGAAGTTCAGGGAATTGCAAGAACACAAAGCCCCTAAGTTATTAGAATTAGATTCACATACAGCTAGAAAAACCCCAGATATCGATAATTTAAAGGAAATAATGTTTTTTTCCTCCAACATGGACATCTGTAGGCAAACACCTGGATAAATTCTCCCTTATTTATTGTTTTTTTTTTGACCACATTTGACAGTGCTCAGGGCTTACTCCTGACTTTGTGCTTCGGGATTACTCCTGAGCACTTGGTGGACCGGGACCGGGGTTGGGGGGGGTCCTGGGATCAATTCCCTGGGGGGGAGTTTGGGAGACCATCTGTGGTACTGGGGATTGAACCAGAGCACAGAGTCAGGAGTAGCCCTGAGCACAGCTGGGTGTTGTCCCTCTTCCTAAAAGAGTGTCAGAAATGATAAATTCAAGAAAATCACTAAAAATTGGTTTATCTTTATGCAGACCGTTACAATGATAAGGAAGAAAATAATTCATTTTACTGGCTCTGATCAGAAAAAACAAGCAAATGCTGCTTTCCTTATTGGATGTTATATGGTGAGTATTTAACTTCTAACATTAGTGAATGTACATACAATAATGATACTTTAAATTTACGTTGGACTTCTCAAGCTTAACTGTGTAAACTCCTATTATGGGCTGTGTAAACTGTTTTTCAGAGCTGTGTAAGCTCCTATCTCAGGCTGTGTAAACAGCTTTTAGCTGGCTGACCACTAGGAGAGATTACAATTTGAAGGATGCTCGCCCACCACTGGTGCTTCTGAACTGCTTCCCAACCTGGGACGGCCCTTGCCTTGGACCAACAAGGAGGAACGAGGGCCAAGCTGGTTGTTGATCAGTTGCTGTTTTTTTCCCATTCTCTCCCAAACTCTCTCCCCAACTCACCACTCTCTCTCTCAGCTCTCCAACCCTCTCCATAACTCGCTCCACAATGCTCTCTCCAACTCTCGCTGGCTAACTCTGTCTCTTGCTCTGCCCACAGCTCGCACTCTGCCTTTCAGGAACCCTATCTCCTCTGTCTCAGCTCTGTCTCCCTACCCTCCTCAGCCACCACTTTTATCATCTCTTCTCTAACCACACCCCCAAACCACCCCTCCCCCTAGAAGTGCAATCAACTTGTTTTTCCAGCCTTCCTGACCACCTGCATCCTACAAGGGCAAAAGGGCAAAATAGCACTTAAGGTGTGTTTTTCCTCTCCTTAGTCACATAACTTAATTAACATCTTAATTGGACTTCCTAATATTTACCATTCTGCATAGACACAGTAATAGACACATTTAGGCTTGTAGAGTGACTCTCCTGGGGACATTTCACCACAGACTCGGAATACAGTGCTCAAGCCAGATTAATCATTCCTAACCCTAGCAGGGTCCAAATCTAGTTATTAATGACAGATTTTGTCCATGGCCATGCTCTTAACTTATAGTTAAGCATTATGGCACTTTGGCTAGGCCTATTTTGATGCCAGGGTAGCTTGCTGCTTGCCCTGGGTCCATCCATTCCCTCTTCAGGACCCTCCTTTTGGGGATCTTGGAAATAAGGGCAACTAAGTGTTAAGTCGAGGAGGTATTATCTGGAGTCAATTAACTCCCAAGTTACAGACTTGTATTTTTATCTGTCTTCCTGTGTTCATACAAAAAGCAATTGCTCTGAAGTCATAACCATGCAAAGGACATTAAGGAGAAGAGTAAAACAGTATTTAAAAGCCAGCAGAGTCTGCTCAGGAGGCAAAGGTAATTGACAGATTGGGGGGCAATCAACAAACCCAAGCTCCCTGTAGCCAGGGAGGAAGGGCAAACCAACGTTATATCCTACACTTACCTTTTTAAAAATATTGCCTTGACTTCCCCCTCCCCCCATCCCTCCAAAGAAAATAATGTGTTGCTTTTAAAAAATTGGCTAATGAAGTTTGGAGAGATAGATAGCACAGGGTTTAAGGCAATTTCCTTGCATGTAGTCAACACAGGATCAAAGCGCTGGCATCACCTATTGTCTCCTGAGCACAGAGCCAGGAGTAAGCCCTGAGAACTACCAGGAATGACTCTAGACCGCCCCCGAGACCCCCCACCCCTCCCCATCCAAATTGGCCCTGCACATTGGGGCCGAGTGGCATATAGGAGACCTATACCTTTTGTTCACAGTTGCTATGAACTAAAAAAATCTCTAAAAAGTTATTATAAGGAAAATTGATAGTATAAAGAAAACTTTGTGTTATGGTATTATGACACTTAGAGTAGGAAGTAATGCTGTTATCAAAGCTCTCTTTTTATTAACCCATAATCTATTTAGTGAAGTTGTGAAATTAAAGTTAGTGCTTAGGATTTACTTCTGGTTTGCTCTGTGCTCAGGGATCATTCTTGGCAGTGTACCTGGGATCGAATCACATGCAAAGCCGGTGCCCGATTCCAGCAACACTCTCAGCCTTGAGTAATTGATTTTTTTAAGGAGACTATCCACCTGTCACATAAGACAGAAGCAGATTACAGTTTGAATGCAGGCACTCTTGCTCTGAGGTCCTCTCCACCATCACCACAGCATTCACGGCAGGACTGGCAACATCGTGGGGACAGGGAAAAAGGCTCCATCATTCACATTCAAAGCTGCGTAGTCCATTAGTGTCACTAGAAGCTTGGTTGACTGTATCCAGTAGTGAAATGGTTATGAGATTCTATTTGTATGTATTTCTAGAATAAATTTTATCTAGCAGCTAGATAATACTTATGTATATCTATACCTAAGTGACAGTTTTCAGCAATTATGCCAGAGGGCACCTCAAGAGACTCATTGTGTGAAGGCCACTGGCTGCGATGCTCAGTGCTGCAGAATAGTGAGAGGTGTTTCTCCTACTCCCACCCTTCCTGTAAGCATTATCTTTCCAGATGAGTAGTAAGACCCTCCTTGGTCTGTGTAGAGCGCTAGCTCTGTCATCTGTCTGTTTATTTGACTTTTAGTTTTTGGGCACATCTGGAGATGCTGAGGGCTGCTTTTGTCTCCTTGCTGGAGAGCCCATGGAGAGGCTCAGGCTCTGGACACTTGGGCATGGAGCATGCCCTCAGCCTGGTGACCACACTCTATAGCTTTGTAATTTGGAATTTAGACAAAAATTGCATTATTATAATAATGTTGAAATTGTAGTTCAAAATGTAATAATTTTCTGTGGTAAACTTGTATCAGTGCAAGAACGAATGATTAAAATGATTTGTGTGTGTGTGTGTGTGTGTGTGTGTGTGTGTGTGTGATCACAAAGGGATTTATGAGAAAGATTTATACTGAATTTGAGAAATATAGGTTACAAATTAATAGAATTTATTTAATTCCTTAAACTTCACGAAGTTTTTTTGGGATGGGGGTTTTGGGGGCCTTTTTTTTTTTTTAACCTTTTTCTGTTTTTCTTGGTAATGTGCTTAGTAGAAAACCCCCCACGACAAACCAAAGCTTGTCCAAATAAACACAGTCCCTAGAAAGACAATAAGGAAAGAGGTGATTGATTTACCTTTGGCATTTTGGAAGTCATTGTACTACCACAGAGAAGAACCCCAGGGATTAGAGTAAATCATGACAGCTTTACACAGAGAGGAAAATAGCCAGAATTTCTTGCAGTTCCTGAATATTAAGGCGATCCCTAGAGAAATGACCCTTGGTGTTACTCTCTCGTCTGCCTGGCAGGCACTGAGGGGCCACGGTGCTGAGCAGCACTCTGAGCTGACTAGTGAGGGCTGTGTTACTGGATCATCTCTTTACCTCTGCCAACGTGTTGGGTTCTTAAGGTGCCAAGACCGGTGGCTTCTTCACTAGACGCTGAAGAGTTTGGCTGTGGGCATGGTGGGAGCTAAGGATTATTCTAAAAGAAAAACATTCTCTAATTTTATAAACAAACAACAACAACAACAACAAAACCCACCACACGTTTAAAATCTTACTGCTGTTCTTGATTGCTGGTATAGAAATATTTGAAACTCGATTGATGTATTTTTTTTCCCCAGGTTGATGTTGCCTTTAGACTTTTGTGGTATTTCCACCTACTGGATGTTTTATTCTCTCTCTTTCTCTCTCTTATATTGAATGCCATTTTGGGGTTTAGAAATGCTGGAAACACTGGGATGATTGGTCAGAAAAGTGTAAGGCTAGCAATTTGGACAGTGACTTGAGTTCATTTCTCAGCTCTGTTAAAAGTCAGCGTGTCAAGAATGGTGCAGCTTTTGGCTGTCGCCATGGACTCTGCAGCCATGACAGCTTGAATCTGTCATGATACTCACTGGGGGAAATTTTCCAGGAGAAAAAAGTTCCAAGGAAAGGAAATTTATGCATAGTAAAAAAGATGTATGACTCTGATATAAGAGGCTAGTTAAGAGAGTTACCTCAAAGATTAAATGGTCAGAGTAAGTCTAGCTTCAATCTGTTTGAGATCTCAAATCCCTGATTTGTAGAGATATATGAAAATTGATCAGTCTCCACAACCTTTTCTGGAGTTGAAGGACTCTAGACATTGCAGAATAATCTGAACGAACTGTTAAGAAGTGTTCCGAATGAACTGTCTTTTGCCTGGGCTTCTGCAGAACCTCTTTCTCCCTCCCTGCACACAGTGGCCCAGAGTGGAGTATGAGGGAGCATGAGAGTGGAGAAGCGAGCTTGTTTTTTAAAAAATTTTAAGGCAGAATTGATTGGCATTTATAAAACCTTCAGTACTTAAAATAGGTGTTTCAGAGGAAGGAGAAGTGCAGCTTGCTTGACTAGTTCTTGTCTTCAGTTTAGTTCCAAACATTGCACTTTATGTAGCCTGGTAGCACTGTAGCACTGTCCTCCCGTTGTTCATCTGTATGCTCGAGCGGGCACCAGTAACGACTCCATTGTCAGACTTGTTGTTACTGTTTTTGTTATATCACATATGCCAGGGGGAGCCTGCCCGGCTCTCCGAGAGGGATGGAGCAATGAACCCGGGTCAGCCACATGCAAGACAAACGCCCTACCTGATGTGCTATTGCTCCAGCCCATGTAGCCTGGTAAATGGAATTTACTGATTACCTATGATGGAATCTTGGTACATTTGCACCATTCATTATAAAAGAATAAAAGGAACATAGAAGATAGCTGAGGGTTTTTGTTTTGTTTTGTTTTGTTTTTAATAACAGAAAAGTTAGTGGATTGTGCCATTTTAAAAAAGGATAAATTTGCTATCCTATTCTTTTTTGGGGGCTATCCGATTCTTTAAATCAGTGTCTGTACCCTAGCCATATTTTGGGTGTGGTAGAACTTAAACTTAATTCATTCTATTTCTTGTTTTATTGGGTTTAAAGGATTTATAGGGTTGAGTTTCCCTCTCTGCCTGCCCCGAGCAGAGCCCTGGCAGCTGAGGACCTCCGGGACCCAGCCAGAGCTATGCTAAGACCACACTCCACATGCTCAGATGAGCCTCACACATGAAGGAACCGGCAGAGGAACCGAGGTGTGTGGGATCCGGGGCTGAGATCTCCAAGCCTGCTTGGTTCTGGACTAGGCCTCCTCCACCCAGATCCCCCATCTTCTAGTAGCTTCCAGTT